GTGAATTTGCTCTGTAAACTTTCACCCAAATCACAATTAAAAAAAAAAAAAAAAAACCACCAAACTCAATGCCATCAAATCAACTCTGACTCATAGCAACCCCTTTTGGGTTTCTGAGGCAGTAAACTTTATAAAAGTAGATTGCCCAGTCTTCCTTCCACTTAGTGGCTGGTGGGTTTGAACCACCAACTTACCACTTAGTAGTCAAATGCCTTTAGCAACTGAATACTTAAAAAGTATCAAGTTAGGCATTGATGAAAAAGCTGAGAAGAAGACAACCTAGGTCCCTGTACTCACAGAAATTATATTCCAGTGTGGAGACAAACAACAAACAAGAGGACATTATATAAGTAGAAATTTTCATGAATACTATAGAGGGATAAATATCCATTTGTCATAGCAATAAAATTGACTTTATAGAATCTAGAAATATAAAAAACCAAGCAAATGAAAACATTTTAGAATCCTAAAACCACCAAAATGAAATTGGATTTGTTTTAATTATTTAGTTTTAGTATGATCTGATAGAAGTAAAATTTTAACAATAACAATTGTTATCTAAAAGAACCATCATGCTCCTAAAATATAAAATGATAGGATTCCAAAACTGCATAATTAGGGAAAAAATGAAAACAAAAATAAATATGCAAAGAAACCTCATTTGAGTCTAATCTTAGCACATGGTTCATATAGTATATGTTGAGTCTGACAATTTAGAGTAAATTTAATGAAATTAATTAACATACAGCAAGAAAATCAGGTCCATTCCTGTTGTAAATGAAAAGAAGTAATCCATTCAACTGGTCAGTTCTGAACTTGAAGGAAATCTCAAAGTCCATTCCACCATGAAATATATGTGGATGAAGTTCCAGGAACCCTTTGAAGATAAGAAAATGTATATGTTAGCAGGTTAATGTAATATCAAGAAACCCTAGTGGTGCAATATTTAAGCACTCAGCTGCTGACTGAAAAGTTTGCAGTTCTACCCATAAAGCCACTCCTGGGAGAAAAGACCTGGTGATCTGCTCCCATAAAGATTACACCCTAGGTAATTCTTTAGGGCTGTTCTACTCTGTACATTGGGTTGCTATGAGTCAAAATCAACTCAGCTACACCTGACAACAACAATGTACTATATGACTCTAAAACATATAATTGAGTAAATCTCTCACAATAGAACATGCAAAGCTAAATTAAGAAATCCCTCTTGTAATTGTGCAGAAGTGGCAGAATGAATTGATATACAGGTTGCATTGGCTAAGAGGAACTTAGCTAGTAATGAGAAAAGAGCAATGAAAAAGTGCACAGATTATAATATTGTTTAGATTTCTTTTCCAAAGGCAGTTTAAGCAACATAATAACTAAACAATTTAGAAATAATTGTAGAAGACATAAATTTGCTTTTATTTGAAGAATAAGACCTGCCTACCAAGCCATTATATCCCTTTCAACTCCCTTACCTAGGATGGCTGCTAGGGCAGAAACTGCAAGTGAGGAGATAGTCCATGTAAACTATACCTCACTTTTTTGTTGAAAGGCAGGGACAGTGGTTACTTTCTCCACTTCCCCTCAACAGACTACATAACCCATTGCAGAGCTGCACTTTCACTTTCAGGAATATCATTCAGCTATATAATGAGAAAAATAAATCTCTGTGGATTAACCTGGTAAACAGAACTCCTTTGAATCATCTTTCTAAGGAAGACTGTATTCTGATTTCCGAACAATGTACTTACAAATGGACCCTTTGTGACACTGACGTATGCAAACCAAGAAGTACCATTGGCCACTTGAGATCTTACATATAAATATATAAGTTTTAAATTTTATAGTACATATTCAGACTTTGAAAATATATTCATGTGCATCAAGGCATAACCAGGCATTTCTATGTATACTAGGTCCACATGAGGTCCAGTTAACTGGACAGGGGCAATAAAGTATGTCACTTATAAATACTCATGCTAAGTAACTAGTTATATCTATTTTAGGACTTTACCTGTTCCTAGGAACTGGGCTCCTTCTTTCAATGAAGTGGGACATCCTTCCCAGCTGTTATACACATTGGCTTGCTCTTCAGAACTCTGCCACTCCAGAGGTTCCCAGATAGCAAAGGGATTGTAATTCTTCATAAAAAGTATATCCTTGAGACAGCCCACAAAGCCCTTTTGAATTATCTCTGCAGGAGTTGATAGATATCAAGAAATATATATATTTAAAATTTCTTATCAAGTAATTGATTTTATGTGCCCTTAGAATCAAAGAAATAGACAATAACTCTCACCACCTATTTACTCTAAGCATCTTAAACATTCATGTAAACACTATGTCATCAGCTATGGTAACTGACAACTATTATAAGGGTTAGCCCTAGTTCAGACACACCTATCTTCAGAAAGAGATGTTTATGAGGAAATCCTGGTTTTTACAGTATAACTAAAAATATTACCTTTTGAAGCTAACATGGAAAATTTTTATCTGCTACTAATTTTAAAAATCCACCATGCATTTGTCAGTTTGTCCTACTGTGCTGGTTGCATGTTGCTGTGATGCTGGAAGCTACGCCACCAGCATTTCAAATACCAGCAGACGTACCCACAGTGGACAGATTTCAATGGTGTTTCTAGACGTAGACAGACTTGAAAGAATTAAACGGCCAGGTCTACTTCTGGGGGTGGAGGAAGGATGCTGAACACCTTAAGAATTCCAAGGCTAATACTGTGTTGGAAGATGAGCTCCTCAGGTTGGAAGGCACTGAAAATATGACTAAGGAAGTGCTGCCTCTTCAAGTAAAGGCATCCTGAATGACATGGGTGAAGTAAAGCTTTCTGGACCATTATTTGCTGATGGGTCATGACTCAAAGTCAGAACAAACAGCTGCAAACATCTATTAATGATTGGAATGTGGAATGTATGGAGTATGAGCCTAGGAAAATTGGAATTTGTGAAAAATGAAATGGAACACATAAATATAAACATGTTAGGCATTAGTGAGCTGAAATGGACTGGTATTGACCATTTTGTATAGGACAATCATAAGGTCTATTATGTTAAGAATGACAAATTAAGGAGGAATGGCACCACACTCATCATCAAAAAGAACATTTCAAGATCTACCCTAAAGTACAATAATGTCAGTGATAGGATAATATCTATATGCCTGCAAGGAAGTCTAGTTAATACAACTATTATTCAAATTTATACACCAACCAATAAAGTCAAACATGAAGAAACTGAAAATTTTTACCAACTTTTGCAGTCTGAAATTAACCAACATGCAATCAAGATCTATTGATAATTACTAGTGATTGGAACACAAAAGTTGGAAACAAAGAAGAAGCATAGGTAGTTGGAAAATATAGCTTTGGTCATAGAAATGGCAACAGAGATTGCATGATTGACTTCTTGCAAAGACCTTTTTAAACAACATTAACTATACATGTGGACTTCACTAGATGGCTTATACAGGAACCAAATTAAATACATTTGCGGAAAGAGAGAGTGGAGAAGCTCAATATCATCAGTCAGGACAATATATCAGCCAAAGGCTGACTGTGGAACAGACCACCACATGTTCAACTTGTATTAACAACCTGCAATATGCAGATGACACAACCTTGCTTGCTGAAAGTGAAGTTGATTTGAGGTATTGAGTAATGAAGATTAAAGACTGCAGTCTTCAGTATGGATTACACCTCAACATCAAGAAAACAAAATCCTCACAGTTGGACCAATAAGCAACATCATGATACATAGATAAAAGACTGAAGTTTTCAAGGATTTCATATTACTTGGTTCCACAATTAACAGCTATGGATGCAGCAGTCAAGAAATCAGACATCGTATTGTATTGGGAAAATGTGTTGTAAAAGATATATTTAAAGTATTAAGTAAGGATGGTACTTTGAAGACTAAGTTGCATCTAAATCAAGCCATGGTATTTTTGATCTCCTTTTATGCATGTGAAAGCTGGACAATGAATAAGGAAGACCAAGGAAGACTTGATGCTTTTGAATTATGGTGTTGGCGAAGGATACTAAACATACCAGAGACTGACAGAAGAATAAATAAATCTGTCCAAGAAGAAGAAGTGCAGGCAGAACATTCCTTCGAAGCAAGAATGGCCAGAGTTCATTTCACCTACTTTGGCCATGTTGTTAAAAGGGACCATTCCCTGGAGAAGGATATAATACTTGGTAAAGAAGATGGTCAGCAAAAAAAAGGGGGGAAGATCCTCAACAAGATGGATTGATAAAATGGCTACAATGATGTTCTCAAGTATAGCAAGGATTGTGAGGATGGCACATGACTGGGCAGTGTTTCAATATTGTACATAGGGTCACTATGAGTTACTTGATAACAACTTGATGACACTTGAAAACAACATAGGCCCAACACTTGTTTCTCAGCTTTTGAGTTGATGTCTTAGTTCTAGAGAAATTATTCACCAGGAATCATAGTGTCACAAAGCCAAATTTTTCAGACATGTCAAATTATTTCTTTATATTGGGATATGCCCGCTCTAAGAAGGGTACTTGGAATCAGGGTGTTCTCGCCTTCTGGTGCCTGTTCCTACCATAGAACAAAAGTCTGCCTATTGGGCAAAGAAATAGAACAAAGGATGTGAAAGTGATTGATTGCATGTGTGAGACTCTTTGTGTCTGTGTGTGTATATCTGTGTGAATGATTTAGAAAGAGCTCTCCACTATTTGGAAGTAATGGAATGAATACTCCTCTACTCTAGAGACATTTCTAATCAGTCTTAAGGATTTGAATGTATCCCTTGCCAAAATGCTCTGAAAATTTTTACTTCTTTGATCTTTTTCTTCTTGATTCCCTGAAGACCACAATTCTTGAACAAATTATAATTAACTGGGTCTTTTATGTTAGTTACACTTTAACACCCTGGAAGAAACCTGAGGGCATCATATTATTCTTGATGAGCACTTGTGCGACAACCTTAGAATCATTAGCATCACATTTGAAGGGGGATTCTTTTCAGCATAAGGTTAACTTTATTCATACTAGTTTTTGTTAGTTTCGAACACATTTTTGTTATCTTGTCCTAAAATTATAGAAAGTTCTTTTTCCATATCTCAATTACAGCACTTATAGCATTAGATTAGAATTATTTGTTCATATATGTGTATCTCCTATTGTTGCAAAGACCATGTTTTATTAATTTATGGTTATGCAGAAGCTGGTTTAGTATCTGTCTCAAAGAAAGTACTCAGAGAACCTTGTTCACTCTATTTGGAGTGTAAATCAAGCTCACAGTTTTTCATTTTTGTGCTGTTCTATATTTAATTTAAAATCTTAGAAAAGGTTGTAAATAAGAGTCATCCTAATAGAGAACACTTTTGACTGAAATTAGTATAATTCAATTAAGCAAAATTGTAATGAACTCCTTCTATGTATGAAAAATGGGGCACTAACAATAAAAATAAAAGTAATACATCTATTTGTTAGCCAAGATGCCTAAAGAAAAAATTTTAACATAGTGACACAGGAAATATAACTTGAGCTAGAAAACAACACTGTTACTCATATTTGAAAATAATATAAATGAAATGCTTTCTAAATTTTGACAACTATAGTTTTACACCTTTACAAAACTCACTGGGATCCTTCCTGAAGATGGTGTAATCTTGTGGCAGCCCTCCCACAAAAATGCCTGTGTTTTCTCCGATGACAGTACTTCCATTTATAGCAGCAGAGGAACCTACGCAAAGAAGGTGAGAATTACAACTTCAGGAAGATAATCTATTTCCACTAATTTAATAATTGATAAAACCCTTCACTTGGTCTTTGTGATACTGCTCTTCCTTGGTTCTCTGTACCTCAGTGGCTGTTCCTGACCACTTATTCTACTCATTGGCCAACATTTTGATGTTGGAATAAATGTTCCAGACCTCCTCTCTTCTCAGAGTTCTTCTCTTTTCTATCTACACTGACTCCCTGGATGCTCCAGAAGGATGAAGAGAGGGCTTGGTGCCAATGCACACAACCAGGAGCGAAGATCCAGAAAGATCTTAGACCTGATTGTGCTGCAAAACCCCTGTTAAGATTTCTATCTACGTCCCTCCTTCTTTGAGAAGAGGGAGTAATTTTTTTCTAGAGCTCCAAGTCACTCCAATAGCCTCATTTATGTTCAGTTCCTCACTTGAAATATAATCCTTAGCTGACACCTTCCAATTTGTATCTCCAGTTGCGACCTCTCCCCTGACCTAGACTCAGATATCCAGCAGCTTGCTTGATGTATCCATACTTGGATAGTTTACAGACTTCACATATTGAAAACTGGATTCTGAACTTTCTCCAAATCTTTCCCACTGTCTTCTCCACCTTAGTTATGGCAGCTATATTCTGCCAGTTGGTGCAGACCCCAAGGCTTGCAGTCATGTTCTACATTACTCTTTCTTTAAAGGGACATATGATAAATATTTTAAGCCTTGTAGACTATACACTACCAAATGGTCATAGATCATACATTAATAGATGGGTATGGTCATGCTCCAATATTACTTTATAAAAACAGACATGAGTATTTGAACCTCAGGTAGTAATTTGCTAACCCCTCCTCTACCTCAATCTCATCATCAAATCCTATTAATTTGACTTTCACAATAGATCTAGAGTCTGACTACTTCTCATTGCATCCACAATTGCCTCTCTAGTTCAAGTCACCATCATTTCTTGCCTTAATTATTGAAGAACTATCACAGAAGCCTATTAATTGGTCTTCATGTTTCCACCCTCAACAGAGTAGCCAGAGTGATCCTTTCAATGAAAGAAGGCTTGTAAAGTCACTCCCCCCAAAAAAACAAAGACCAAACTCACTGCCATCGAGTCATTTCTAACTCATAGAGACCCCTCTTTGGGTTTCCAAGGAAGTATTTCTATGGAAGTAGATTGCCCATTCTTCCTTCCAAGGAGTGGCTGGTGGGTTTGAACTGTCAGCCTCCTGGTTAGTAGTCAAATGCCTTAGGCATTACATCATGAGAGCTCCCTGTAGAGTCCCAAAGGTTCTACATAATCTAGTCCCCAGTGGCCTCTCTGGACTCTCCACCTATCACTAGCTCTTTCACTCCCTCTGTCCCACACTGACTTCCATGTTGGTCCCTGACATGCAATGTATGGTACGCTTCTAGCTGAAGACCTGGCACCTGTTGTTTCTTTAACACTTTTTTTTTTTTTTTTTGATGTTGTTATTGTTGTTATGTGCCATTGAGTTGGCCCCGACTCATAGTGACCCCTCCTTGGGTTGCCAAGGCAGTATCACCACAGAAGCAGATTGCCCAACTTTTCATAGTACAATGGTTTTCTCTTTCTGTCCTTCAGATCTTTGCTCAAATGTCATCTAATCATAGAGGTCTTCTGTAATAACTCCTCCACAATTGACCCAAGCACACACACACACACACACACACACACATAGATACACATACACTTTTGCCTCTATCCTGTTTCACTGTCCTCAGAATTTACTACCACATGATACTTGTTCAATATTTCTTCATTCAGTCTCTTTCCGCTCTTCCCTAATAAATAAGCTTCAAATGCTCTGTTTGCTCTTTGCATCCAGAGCATCTAGAATAATACCTGGCATATAGCAGGTGGTCATTTAAATTAGTTATTCTATGAATTAATTGATAAAAGCATGCCTCAGCATACAGATACTGTAACTATTTTATAACTGCATCAAGATGGAGATAGAGTAGACTGGAAAAAACACTAAACTGAGAATTGAGAAAGTAGTACATGTGTCCTAAGAGTGCTGCCTACAACCTGCATAAATTGAGAGAGATTTTATCAGCCTGTTCTCTCTCATGTCTGCGAGGCAGATAACAATTGCTTTACTCTACTGTATTTGCCTTCTGAAGGGCAAAAGTAACATGAAAGAATAGAATTAAAAAGCCTTGAAAATTGTAGAAAACTATCAAAAATACAAGATTGCTGCTGGTGCTTTTGCTCTTACTTTTGTTTTATTAAAGCCCTGCATGGATGAGAAACTGGTTGTCCGGCATCATTGTAGGAGCACCCAGAAGACAAATTCAACAGCAATTTAGATGAATTTGAGTGGAGATGAAGGGGAAAGAAGAGGCATGGAAATATAAACAATGAAAAATATGGCAACATCAATGTATTAGTAGAACCATTTATATATACAGTAAATTCTTACCGGTATAATGCCCATCGAGAGTGATTTGGCCAATAGATTGATGCCTAATGGCAATTATTTCATGCCATTTTCCATCACTATATTGTTTACCATTATCATTAGTTGTTGTAACTTGCACTGAAGATCCCTTAGGAGGAAAAAATAAACAAATAAGTATAAATAAAAGTGTGTGTGTGCAGGTGTTACAAACGATTTTCCAGTTTTAACATTATGATTCTGATACAAACATGTATAAGTTTCAGATATAACTCACAATTAAAGTCGATGCCTAGCATCATTCTGGCTTTTCTATGATTTGCTTTCGTGAGTGCCACAGTGCCCTAATCTGAAAAGAGCTCTTCAGAATTAGGTCTGTTACAAAGACACTTGTGTTTTGACTGCTTGTGTTCATCAGAAAGGTAATGGGTTTCCTTTTCTAGAATTTTTCATTTTAATTTTTCTGGTAGAAATAGAAAAGGGATAAGAATTTAACAAAATATCATTCATAATGTATTCTAAAGATAGGGGAAGTTCAAGCCAGTTAGTTTCTCTAACCCTCACTAAACTACTAATAACAAGGAGGAATGAGATTTACAATAGATATTAGCTATTTATTAGTAAATTATACCTAAGTATGGGGCTGAACTTACTACATGATACTTTACAGTCTAAAACCTCATAGTTACAGCTCTGGCAGTTTGCCTAGAAACAGTTTTTAAACCTTGAACAAAAACTATCCCATGAAGTTATTTTTAAACTAAAGAACAGTTTAGTTCAATTAATAATAATAATAAAAATTCCCCTTAAGCATTGTACTCTTTTAGAGAATTATCTATGTGAGATAAAATGCACAATAGAAATCCTGAAACACTAAGGTGCAAAGAGTGAGAATGGTGACACAGTGTGAAGTATGTAACCAGATTTATTGAACTGCACCTGTAAAAACTATTGAATGGCTGTATGTTTTATTGTATATATTTTTGCTGCCCCCCAAAAAAAACTAATAAATTCTTTAGTGGATAAGATTTAGGAAATGCAATATACCAAGAATGGAGGCAAAAGTAAAGAAACAGAGAAAGAGAGATAGAAGAGAAACTTTCTATCTTGTGTTTATAGTGAAGTGAATAGTTTTCAGTATAATGTGCTTAGAACAGTGGTAACCTTTTCAATGTTGACAATGTTAAGCAAGTAAGACTAAGCAAAAGATGGTTCAACTTTGCCACACCTTCATTTAATATTATTAGTAAAGAAAACATAACCAGAAAAATTACTCTGTACTTTCTACATAAAAATCCACTCTTTTGGAAAATAAATGTATTTATTTCTTAATAAAGCTGATTGCCCAAGCAATAATATATCTTTTTCTAACAACAACAAAAACAATTGTAAAAACTAAAAATAAGGTTGGGTAGAGTATTGCTTTCTTTTAATTACTGGGAATATTTCATCAAAGTTTTAAAATTTTTGCTGTATTGTTGTTTATAATCTAATATCTATTAAGCCAGACATAATGAGATTTGTAAAAAATGTAAAGAAATGCCATTCTTCTCACTAATTTTCTCCTTTGGGAAAAAAACATGAATTTTTCATATAGTATTATGTTAAAATTCAAAAGGTTTATCAACTTTATTTTTTAATATTCATCTTACTTTTGGTGAAAATATGCACAATATACAAAAAAAATACACACAGGAGATCACACACTCATTCAACAATTTCTACATATATAGTTCAGTGGCACTAGTTACTTTCTTCACATTGTGTAACCATTCTCATTATCTGTTTTTTTTTTTTTTTTAAGAGAAAATGGATAATTATCTAATGTATTATAGCAAAAGTTTTACATAGCAAAATATGCAATGTAAATCATACCATCTAAGGTTATAATAAAACATTTATGTTTTTATTTCTCTAAAATAGCTTCAGTGATGTAACGTGTCCATCTATACATTTAATTGGCTCCTGTCTGGTCTTATACAGAGCATGACAACATGCATGACTTACAGAAGTTCACGTTACCAAAAAACAGTTTTTAATTTCCCAAGAGTATAAGGAGGCTCCTTCTCACATGGAAAATATCCCAACTTTTATGGAGAGAACTCATTTTGTTAGAAAGATGACCATTTAGTAAATCCATTTTCTAGTCCTTGAATTTTTGTAGATTGACTTTCCTTATATGTCTTTCTTTTATATACACTCTTTTATTTTCTTCAACCCTATTTCAACATTTTAATATTTTACAAACACACATTTCATTATCGTAGTTTAATAATTAAAACCAGAACTGGTGTCGTGCCCAATTAATGTGCCCTGGTAGCATGCCCATTAGTTTTTCCATTAGTGAATTCAACAATACTAATGGGATTACTAGCATGGGATGCTAATTGGGCGTGACATAAGAAACTGGCTTACTTCTTAGCATACCCTTGCTAATGATGAAATTAATGAGCATTTTATTAAATGCTGTCTCATCAAAGTGTACTTAGTTAGCGTTAAAATTGTTACAAACGATGCTGCATTCTAAAGATCAGGTGTCTGAGTAAGTGGTTCTTCATATTATGTTTGGCAACAATCTGAAGCATTAATAGTTCTCTACATCAGAAATCACATTTATTGGCGACAAATTCAAGTACATAATGTATGCCTCAATATGCCAAGCTAGGTTTATACTCAGAGAAACTTGGAATAATATTATTAATGATTATGTTAAGGCTATTTATCCCACCAATGTTAAGAGGATAATTTTGTGATCAATTCAGGTGTCATCTTATGCAGTTTTGTTTTGTTTTCCAATTTGGAAATTATCAGACACATTAAATAGGTGCTATTCAGAATGGAATAAGAAAGTTATAGGAATTTTCTATTAAGGTTACTGAGCAGAAAATATTTAAATGGTAACATGGATCATTACTGGTCAATAAAATATAGTCTGACTAAGTATTTTCAAAATATAAATTAACCAAATAAATAAAAAGCAGATTATAGCCAAGTATTAGATGTAACAATAATACAGCAACTAAATGTTGGAGTAATTTCCATGTTGTCTCTCTTGACAACAGTTGCAAGTGATTAGACCATAATGTGAAAATACATTTCTAATTTGAAATATTATGAAGAATATTTCCCATTCCCCTAAATATGTACTCAATAAAATGTATTAGATAGAAACCAATATGTTGTTGGACCTATAATCTCCAGTTAGGATTATATTATTATATAAGGAATTCATTACTTAAGCTGTTACAGATTTTTTTTTTTAAATGAAAGTGCACAGACTTCAAGTTACTTTTAAATTATATAGTAAACAAACTCTAAAATTCCCTGATAATATCTTTTTACAATTCAAAATTTGATTATTTTTAATGGATTTCAGAAGAGTAATTTAGAAGTAATTGCTTATTTTTTTTCTGATGAGTCAAAGTACCCAAAAAATAAACAAATAAGAATTAAATTGTTTAATCATCATTAAAGAACTACACATTTTATTCCACAAAATGGGTAATTTTATTTAATTATAAGTAGTCATCTTTTATCAATAGTTATTAAGTCAGGCAGTCTGTTGGTGGACATTTATTTCTTGAGCATCTACTCTGTTCCAAAGACTGTGGTAAATCTTAGGGATATTTTTGCAGATAAAGTAGACACAGACTCTGTCTTCACTGGACTGTAAAGTCTGATAAGAAAGATATATTATAAGCAAACAATTACTTCCTTGAAGAGTGTAATATGGTTTCACTAGATAATTTCCTCCTCATTTGAAGATAAAAGCAAAATAATCTAGTTTAAAATTGGCATATGGCACCTGAAGTATTTAAGATATAAACAATTGTAATGCTAGTGTGAGGCATATAAAATAAAGGTCCATATTCCCTTAAACCTGGGCTAGCACTTTCTTTGTACAAGCTTTATTCTCATTCCCACCCAAAAGGAGAAAAATCACTGGGAGAATACTCAAAATTCTTCCCATTCTCAGTTTTAACCAATTCTTTTTGTGGAAACGTGTGGGGTCTTCACTATAAAGTTAGCAAACACAAACACATCCAGTTAACTTGCATTTTAATATAAATTCCTAGAAAGTAAGCAAGGACACGGTGTTTGCTAGCTGAAGCTCACATTTCATGTATAGATAGCTTCACGATGCATGAGTATTTCGTATAATATATCTGATTAAATTTTCTCAAATACATCATAAGGCAATCCTGCTCATCGTTACTAACTTTCAAAGAAATTAATTGTCATTTTCCTGAAAAGGCATTCAACTTTTGCCTTATGGAGAGATATTATTATTTCAGATATAAATTTGATTGTCAGATGTCATTAAATCCTCCCCATACACACCACCAGCTTTTTAATTTCAACAATTTTATTAGCACCTTGTTGGCAACTACAGACTCTGTACAAAGCTTAGGATTTTGGTATAGAGGGTAGGGACAGTTGTTAGGTGCCGTGGAGTAGGTTCTGACTCATAGTGACTCTATGTGCAACAGAATGAAACAGTTCTCCACCATTTCCACAATTGCTGTTAATGTCTGAGCTTATTGTTGCAACCACTGTTTCAATCCACTTCATTGAGGATCTTCCTTATTTTGCTTCTCTTTTGCTTTGCCAAATATTATGTCCTGCTACTGCACAGATTGATTCCTCCTGATCCCACATCCAAAGTACATGAGACAAAGTCTTGCAAACCTCACTTCTAAGAAACATTCAGGCTGCACTCCTTCCAAGACAGATTGCTAGTTTTCCTGGCAGTCCATGGTGTATTTAATATGCTTTTCTAACAACAGAATTCAAAAGCATCAATTGTTCTTTGGGTTTCTTATTCATTGTGCAGCTTTCATACGCATATGAAGTGATTGAAAACACCAGGGGTTGAGTCAGGCACATCTTAGTGCTCAAAGTGATATCTTTCGGTTTAACACTTTACAGAGGTCTTGTGCAGAAGTTTATCCCAATGCAATATGTTCTTTGATTTCTTGATTGCTGATTCCATGGACATTGATTATGGATGTGAGTAAAATGAAATTCTTGACAGCTTAAATATTTCTCCATTTATCATGATTATTGCTTATTGGTCCAGTTGTGAGGATTTTTGTTTTCTTTATGTCAAAGTGTAATCCATACTGAAGGCTGTAGTTTTTGATCTTCATC